GCTGATAATCAAAGTTATTCGAACCAAATGCGCGTAAGCAAAGTTTAGGGTAGGGCAAGTCCGCATTTTCGATAAGTTTCCATCGATAACACATCCTCGATCCTTCTCAATCTTCCCGTTCCTCCCTTACGGAAGAAAGTTGCTTCCAGAGCACGAAGTTCGATTAAGAGAAGCGTTTACGAGGATTGTTGTAGCGGCAGTTTGAACTTTATGGACTATACAGAAAGACAGAGAGAGAGAGAGAGAGAGGGAGCTTTTTATGACAGAACGCGAGCCCGTGGAAATACATGCTAGGATTCGAGAGTGAAATATTCGTGTATTCGCGTCCACGGTTATTTCCCCTCTGATCTATTTCTCGCTGTCCTTTCCTGCGTTTTTCTCTTTCCTTCGATTGTTTTTTTTAATGAAACGATATAAAATAAAATTTATTTAATCAATTATATGTCATATTAAACGCAGTTTATTTTTATCAATATAAGAATGATCGTGTGCAATTAGCTGATTATGTACAAAAGATATTTTAGAAAATTAATTTTTTTTAACATAGAGCAGAATTTAATAAAAGTATTATATATTAAGAATCATTGAACTATATTAAATAACTAGAAATGTAATATAATTTGTCAAAAATACGTTAATACATTTTAGCCTATTAATTCTTTACTATTTTTTACTTTTGTTATTTTCGCTTTTGTACTTAAATTGCGTTGAGATAGTTTTCACTTTTCTTTCTTCTTTTACGATATATTATTCTTTTCTACAGTATCTCCCTACAGGGGTGTATAATGTAGTGTATATTTATTTATTTTCCATCTTTTCGTCCTACGAATTGAGCTGCCGTTTTACTTTATCGCCAACCGAACATGAATAAATGCACATGCTGTTTTTCCCCTCATGTTTCTGCCTCCATCAATTTTCACCCTCCTATGGTTATCCTTTGACGATTTGGAAATTTATGTCGTCCCCTTCCGTTTGCGTTATTTACAAGTCGTTTCCTAGTTTTCCGCAAGAAAATGCTTGGAGAGCTATTTCCTCGAGAAGAGGAGTGACTTGTCACAAAACGACTTGTCGGAATGCAATAAGATGTTGAAAGAACCAACGAGTCGTCCCTAAAGTATGAAAATTTTCCTCGTGTTTCTTTACAAAATTCTATCTCATTTTTATTTGTCCAAAAATATTTTTTCGCGTCAGAAAATTCGTGCATCGTTTCGAATGGATGCGATTAATATGAAATAATCATTTTCTGCATAAAATAAATATTTATTTTACGCTATCATTTTCATACGACAGATGGAAAGCTCTTTTTTTACTTTTATTAAGTACATTTAAATCAAATGTTCTCATTTCTATTTTCTGCTGATTTTTTGTGCCTTATTCTCATTTATGTGATTTCCATTTGAATGCAACCTTTAGTGTTTGTAATATGCTTGTAATTAATTCTCGCTATGCGTTCAACTGTGACGCGATTTACAGACGTCAAAGAGAAAACTCGTTATGTAATTAATACGATGGCGTGTAAGCTCACTTTTAACGTCGCGAAACGAGCTAGTTGGAGAAAATCGACATTCGAACTATATAACGTTCCAAATTTTTACGAAGTTGACAAATTGTTTGGGTCAAAAGAAACTGAAATAATATAAAAATTAATATTTAAACAATAATATGCAAATTAGATTGTAATAAAAGCAAACTAAAAAGTGCACCTACCTGCTTGAAGAAAGCAACGGAAGAGTATGACAAAACTTTCGCCGTAATATGTGAAAAGATAGAGCATAAGATATTTATTATTTAGTCGAAAAGAAAAAGAAAAATGTAACCAATGACTATATAAACATAAACCATTATGTAATTCGAGATATGTATTTTTTTCTCTCCTTATTCTTTATTAGCAGACACTATTCTCACTATGTTCTTGTCAAAAATATGGCAGAACAAAATATGACATTTTATTTTAGTGCAAAAATATCAAATTTAAGATGTACGAAATATGAAAAAAAAGATCTTTAATTTTTGTACAGAAAGGAAGCAAAGAAAGCAACTTCTTCTTTAAGATTCAACTCTTTCAAGATTATACTTTGCTGGGTTTTCGTGTCTGGACATATTAAAGGCGAAAGATTTCGAGCGCTCTTCTTCTGCGTATTCCATGTTGTTATGTGTAAAGAGCAAACGAAAGAGCGTGATTGGTGCAGAAAGGTCAACACAAAAATTAAGAACACAGACGGTTGCCGAAGTGAAGATGACGTTTAATCGTAAATCAATAAAATTAATGAATTAAATAAATAAATTAAAAATGTTTATACACATTTATATATATATATATATATGTATATATATATATATATATAATATATAATATAATATATAAAACATAAATAGGGTCCCGAGACTGCGGGAGCATGAACGCGCATCCCTCGCTCCCTTATCGTATGCTCGCCATTTTTTTGCTCGCGTACGGAGATCGTCATCGTCGAGGTTTTTGATGAATGAGATCATTATTTATCTCTCGATACAATTCCTTCCGAAGATTCGTCCGACTCGTTTTTCATACAATGTCCGCCTTTGTATAATAATATTAATGTTCCCCTTTTCAGAAATTAAATGATAAGACGGAAATAAATGAATACTTCATAAATGCTTCTCCACGTACATTTTGAGGACGGAGAATAATTTTTTTGAAGGTCGGATTATATTATTCTTCTCAAAAACCTCTCGATCGATTCCGCGTTTCCCGTGTCTCATCGAGATGAGGATTCATCTGTCGTTCTCGTGGTTTCCTCCCTTCGTTATTTTCTCGCCCGTTCTTTCTCTCCTTTATCTATTCTATACCTCTGTTTTTTTAGCTAATCTAATGCGTTAAACTATCGTATTTTACATTAAATCGTTTTTGCCCCATGACTCGCTCCCTGACTGGCCTTCATTTCTATCTCCTCCTTTCGCGTTATTTCTTTATATATGCAATAATAGATGTAATTTCGAAAATTTCGTTGCTGTTGGATGTCGTCAATTAAAAAAATTAATTTCTCTATTTGAAATGTTGCCACAATGACTTTGAATTGCGTCGCTCATGTTTGGCATATTTTGAATTATTATTTACGATTAGAGCTATCAATTATTTCACCTCAATAATTTATACAATTTCAACCAAAAAGTAATTGATTTAAATTAAAAATTTTTAAATATCGTCAAGATATTTATTAATTGGTATTCTTTGATTAATTGTAGACTGTTCTCTGGACATTTGTATACATTTTCTCAACCAAGAAGTATACTATAGTTTCTGTCTTTGTTCTTCACGAAGCGTAAAAGTGGAAAACCCATGGATTTCCATTCACCGCAAGGCATTATTCCTCTTTACATTCAGCTGGTTTTCCAACAGCAACGAACATGCCGCGGCGCTGCCAAGTTTTCTAGCCTTACTTTCCACGATTTCAATAAAACCGAGCCGTGGAACAATAAACTTGTTAAAAGGAAAAAAAATCAAAGAGAGAAAGATGGATGGTCCAGTAGACCGTAAGTTTGATTCACAGGAACTATTTTCGACTCACAGAAATTGCTTTAGCAGAAAATACAGGAAAGCAATCGATTAGTGTTTAACTTTTCTTTTCTCACACTCTTAACTCCAACTAAGTCGAAAGTGTTGTCTCGATATATGAATGAAAATAAGATTTTATAAATTAAGGCTCTCTCTCTTTCTTTCATCTTTTCTCACGTTTATTGTTCGTCATTCGGCGCAATCTCATTAAATATCGACCATAATTCCACATTTGTTCGCGCCGAAAATTAGTTGTCATGCCTAAATTTTAGCAACTAATATTTTTTAGTTTAACGGAGAATGTTATAATTGAAAAATATTAGCTGTCATATAGCTAAAATTTAGGCATGATAACTAAATTTTATATGTAACGTATGGACAGCTAAAATTGAGCTATGGTAGCTAATTTTTTTCCGCGCGACACTGATCATCGCGAGGTTGAAAGAAAAGTCGAGAAGAGGAGGAGTGAGGACCCTTCATCCTGATCATCTTCAGGTAACGATACGCTGTCATAGTCACGCTCGTCGTCCTTGATCGAGACCCCTGGGCTCTTTGGTATTGTTCTCCCGTTCGCGGAGACCCCGGAGAAGCGTGGGCCTCTCCGGGCGCGCTTCCACGTTGTCGTTGATCACGAGGTCAAGCATTTTCCGCTCGAGAACTCTCCCCCGCGATGATACGACGTCGAAAGGAGCATCGGGAGAGCCGACGGACGAGAGATCGACATGTACCTTCGCCTTTCACACGCTCATTTTCATATTCATGATCTCTCGCCCATTCTCTCCCCATTATTTCCTTTCCTCCGGCCGGAGAACTTTACGCGGAAGCGCGAGCAGTAGTGACATTTTCTAGAAGGAAAGTACTGATAATAATGCTCGAAGAAAAAAAAAAAAGAAAAATGAGAAATGGTAGAGGCAGTAAAAACAAAAGGGGAATGGAAAAAATATACAAGAAGAATAAAAAAAGAGTAATAAGATAAAAAGAAAAAATGACAAATAGAAAAAGATTGTAAAAGAAGGAAGAGATGTAAAAGTAACACTAGTCGTAGAAATTGAAGAAGGTACGAATGCCCGGTCCGAATTTATTTTTTGGAACCTGTTCCTGTATAAGGAGTACGCAGGATCAAATCCTTAATGCCCGATACGGAACCGAAATTCGTCATTTCTAACTCTCGCTTCTCGATTTCTCGCCTAATCGTCCCGTCCTGTCATCGTCTCTTCTGTCTTTGTCTCTTTCTCTCTCTCTCTCTCTCTATTTCCATCTAATTTTCTTCGCACGATTTTCCCTCCCCTCTTTGGTCGCGCGTTGGCCCTCTCACGACTCTATCTCGTGGGTTCCAAGTACACCGTAAGGGTAAAAAAAAGGGTCTACTCATGTGTTTAAAGGGCCCCGCGCGATTATCGCTAGCAGTAGTACGAGGTAGAGAGTCCCAGCTTGCAGGAAAAGGGCACCCTACGCCGATTATACACACTTCCGGTGCTGATGACGTCCTTCGTCTCGCACCGTAGACCCGTGAAACCCTCCGCGCATCTGCAACAGAAAATTCAAATATATTAGCGAAGCAATCAATCTATTTGCATTGCGTAATGCAACAAGATTTTCGAAAATTATGCATCTTAGAATTTTCTTAAAGTTTAGATAATATAGATATAGATTTTGAAGGCAGAAGCCTTTTTATAAAAATACTTAATTACGCTGTTTTTTCGAAAAAGTAAGAATAAGAATAATCACTTCTATCTCTTTATCTGATTTCCTTAACATTTTTCTTTCATTAATTCTTTTATTATATCAAATTTTAAATACTATATCTTTACACATAAAATTAACAGGGAGATATATAAAATAGATTTTTTAAATAATACAAGTGCGCAAACAGGATCATATCTTTAATTAGATTAAATTTTAGTTAGCGACACAATTAAGATACATTTATTTAGCAATAGCTCATCTCTCCTATTTTAATTTAATTCGTATGATTTACGTCAATCCTTGGAATGGTCCTGACCAGACTGCGTCGTCGCCGCGCGGCGAAATTTATTAGCTCGTCTCGGGATTTTTCTCGGATGCGCGTGCGAGACGTACACGTTTCTTAATTTAACTAAATGTATGCGTCGCATCAGAATCCGCGCGACGGCGCGTCTTTCTCGCACGACTGCGGTCTGCGAGGGACGCGACGGAACAACCGGGGATTTCGAGAAGAGACAGGCCCCGATGCGTCGTTTCTTTGGAAAAATAATGTTATGTCGTCGTCGTCGTGGGCTATTTATAAACCGCGGTTAACTAACCGCGACGAGAGACGAGTTCGAAACTACCGCGAAATTAAGATCTCCGGCCGTGCTCTCTCGCTCGGTGCGCGCGTTCGGATAAATAAATTATTAGCACGTCTCTCTAGGCATATATCGCCTTTTCTCCATTTTTCCTTCGTCTTTTCCTCGTTCGTTCGTTTTTTTTTTTTTTTTTTTTTTTTTGATATTTTTTTCAGCGCGCAAACAGCTGTCGCGCTAATTTCATCGTGTCGCTGTTTTTCGCCTTGTCGTCGAAAATTCTGGCGCGTACGTAAAGAATTAAAAGCCGCAATTCATAAAACGTCGTTCGCGTCGCCTCGCATCAATTCTCTCGATTTGCAGGAAAAGCGTGGGCTAACTCTTGATTTTTTTGATAGATATATATATATATATTTATAAGAGTGAATCTAATTTAAAGTCACACGTTCGCGCGCGCGAGTAGACGCATAAATATCCGGCAATAATCGCGTCCTTTTCAGCGGAACGTCCCGTTCGCGTCCGGGACACGCATCCTCTTAATCCGGCACTGCGGTGGAAGCCCGGAGGGAAGTCTACCTCTGCCTCCTAGTGTCTGGGAGTCCGCGACGGGCGTGCGATAAAGCGTATTTTTGTCACGACAAATTTGGGACGTCTGAGACTTGGCGCGACGTTTTTATTTCGTGAAATCGCACGCCTAGGTAAAACGAGAGCGGAAAAGGAAGAGAAGGGACAACGAAAAGAGGGATGAAGAAGTAAGAGAGAAAAAGTGATACACTGTTCCAGAAGTGTCTCCTCGAACGAGGGAAGGATGCTTTTCGAAAGAGAGAAGAGAATTAGAGGTTTCTCGAGACTGAACGTCGCGTTTAGACTGTATTAAAAGAGTGACAGGGGACATATGCTAAGGGGTGAAGTATGCGATAAGTATGCGCAAAGGCGGGACGACGACGAAATATTTATCCGCAGCAACCGAACGGTTGATCGAATTAGACTTTGTTGCGAATTTTTTCGCAGGCGCGAAACAGTAGCGATTTTAACGCGTTGCTCGCGATTCGCGAGTTTTTTTTCAGGCTCGCTGCTGCCTTTGCCGAGATTTACGAGGGCCTACGTTAAATATATACCATTTTACTCCCCTCCTCCTGATGAATTTACTGCCAAACGAACTGAAACAGAACGCGGGGCGTAGATAGCACAATTTACTGTACCATTCACTTAAATCCATTAACGTGTCTCGCTAACTTTGCCGCCAGCCACCCTCTCCCTTCCCCCGCCCATTCGAGTAATTGGCTTTCTATTGAGATTTATCGTAATCATGCGTGCACCCGCTACAGCTCGGGCAACTCTTTTGCACGCCGTCGTAAAACAAACCCGACTCGCGAGTTCGTGAACTGAGGAACATTCGTCTATTTGCGAGAATTAGGTAGGACGACATATATACACATAGTTGAATGGAACCGAAATTAACTCGAGTTATCAAAAAAAAAAAAAAAACGGGATATCGTGGAAAAGTATTTGGAGAAAACGGATATGACAAATCATTTATTTATTTTATTGAGAAAATGAGAAAATTCTAACGTTCGCTGGTGGAAATAAAATATTCTCGACGAAAATAATTCTGGACGATCGATTTTTTCCATTGACAGATTTTACGAGGCTGCGTGCTAATATATGCGTGACGCTCATAAAAAATCGTAAATTAGCGTAGCTTGTTAAGGATCGCGTTGGTAGGCTCACGCGAGATTCGTTGGTTTTCTCGCGTGATCGCTCTTTAAATATCGATCGCCATGCCATTTTTTCCAAGAATTTCGCGAGTGTTTAATAAGATGTTATTTTATAGTCTATTTTTCCAAATTTATCGTCACGATAACGGCGAAATAGAAAATGTTTTCCATCGTCATTGAAAACTTTTGGAAATCACTAGAGTTTCGGCGCGAAAGAACTTACAAAAGATTTCGCGCATTACGCGAAGCTGCTGTCTTAAATCTAGAGAACTTTCTTCTTCAAAAAAATATATATTATCTTTTCCAACTATATGTCTGCGAATGTATCACTGTGATGTGTATAATAATAAAAATTAAAAAGTTAAATGTATGAAGAAATTACTGTGTCAATGATGCACCGAAAAAAATGACTAAATTAATACATATTTAGTTCAATACCACCAAATAAATCATTTATTTGAAACAAAACAAAATATTTATTTGTTTTAAAAAGGATCTTCTTATATCGAATAAGTATTATTAGTTTCAAATAAATTATTCATTTGGCAGTATTGAAATAATACTTATTCGAATTAAATGAATTTTTTTTTCAGTGTAGATGATTACTTTATATACGATATATTTAATTATTCAATTTTATTTAATTATTTTCTTTATATATTTATTTAATCTATCTTATCTTTTATTTTTATATAAGTTTACTGATATCATCAATTTCTTAATATTATTATTCTTTTACACATATATATTATTATAGATACTTTTAGAACGAAGTTTCGCGTTAAATTAATAGCATTCGATTATTTAACTATTATTTCTCTCTTTTTCGCTTTTTACATACACACACAATACATTTTTCTTAGTATAAATTTATTCAATTTAAATAAATAGTTCAAAGATGACGTTCAAAACATGATGCAATTAATTGATGAAAATAAGAATAGTTAGAGAGAAATCGTGAAATTGAATTATTGCGGTCTTTATTAACAAAACTCGATATTTCTTAATTGAATAAATTATCGCTGATAATTACGCGATTGAATATTTTAGATCGAATATTATTATCTCACAATTAGCAATCCCGATATTTAGTAGAACGCTTTTAGAAATATCGATAATTGAAGCAATCTGCTTTATAAATCAATAAACAGTTTAATTACAGCAAAAGAAAATATATTAATTAAAATATATATAGGATTCTTTAAAAATGCATCACATTGTTTAAAAAATACTTTTAATATTAAAGTCAATAATGTTGATGTTTTTTTATTTAAATGAATAAAAACTTTTTAAAGAGTTTCTTCATTTATATTTGAGCTTAACTATATAATCTGAATTATTGCCATTACATATAATTTATTCACAATTGGAGATTCTTTTTAATTCTCATTATTAAATAATTTTATCTTTTATGAATAATTTTATATTAATTTTTATTTAACATATGAAATGAAGAAGGGCCATTATTGATCTCTCAACTATCTCTATATAGTAGAGTATAAGACATTCTTAATCCACACAATTAATGCGTATGTACATTAAACTTTAAATAAAATCTCGTATAAAATTTGAGTAAAATTCCCTACAAAACATACTGTGTACTTCTTCCGTTGAAAATTGTCAAATGACGGTCTGTAAGCTGCTAATTGTCAGACTCGAAATACTCATTCTTTTCCGCAGGAAATGTCATAATTAAATGACATCGTATGTATAATTAAATTTGAGAAAAGTACTGGCCAAGATGAAAAATTTTTTAACGTTACATTTACCATATTAAAACCATACGTTAGGTTAAGCATTTTGTTTTCAACGTACGAGACAAACGCGCGGTACTATACGAGCTAAGTTAATTTTACAGAAAACGATGCTTTAATCACATTTAAGCCTCGCAATAGCGCGGCCGTGACGAGAGTCGACGAAATGCGCATACTTTGCAGTAATAACTTAAAACGTTTTTCCACATGGCGGTACGGATTAAGAATAAACAAGCCGGACAAAAAACTAATTAAAACACGGAAAATCTGCAAGAAGGGCGCGAGGAAGATATTCCGGCAAATGCTTGTCCTTTCGCGCCAGTCTAAACACGGTCGCTTTCCTTTTTCTAGGTATTAATTAAAAGTAGCACAGCAATCTCGTAGAAAGGCGAGTCGCTTTTTCCGAGGCCGGCATTTAAACGCGTCCTTAAGGAGGCGGTTTTCCTTTTATAATATTTTTTGCAATGACGGCAGAATCCTATAATTGCAATTGCAATCACGTTACGTAAAGTGTTTTTTTTTAACGCGTGTCAAATAAGAGATACTCCGAAGATACGATATAGCTTTTATGCAATCAACTTTTTTAGATATAGTTATTATGTGATAGATCTTGATAAAATTATAACATATTTTATATTTACATATATGTAGTATATATTATTTATAATTATCTAATTCAACAATTTATTATTTAGATGTGGCATTGAAATATAATTATGTTCTTTGTTGGTAATTTTGTTTATCGCGAAATTAAAAACTCTTTTTCGTACATCGATGCTCGACCGCTAAAGAAC